GGAAGTGGAATGTTCATCCACTATCACAATCGAGGGGTCATCCTTCCCCGCATCCCCCTTTTTAGGTTTCTTACCCTCAGGACCACCGCCCTTCCCGGCGGCCTTCCTCTTCTCCGCAACGGCAGCTCCTTGGGAGCCCCCAGCGACATCAACGGTGGCAACAGCCGCAGAAGGCACCACCACCTCCTTCTGAAAAAGGCACTGACGAGTTGCTGACCCGAGGGATCCTTCTTATTGACTTGGGCCCTTGCCCTTCTTCTTCTTCATAGCAAACAGAGCGTTCACGTCCATGTGATTACCTGCAAAAAGAAAACACAAGATGGTTAGATCGAGGGGTAGAATACACGAACAGAAATTAAAGTACAAAAATTCCTAAGTACAAAATATAAGGCCCCGGCAACTACCTCCTGTTCCCCCGAAGGCTGTATCAAGGATGGGGTACTTCTCATCTGTTCCCCCCAAGAAGCGGTACCACCGGAAGCCGAGGGAATACAAATCGCTCTCGAGGATGCATTCTTTGATGGTTACGTTCTTATTCTGCCCCTCCGGGATCTTGGCAATCTTAAGACCATCTTTTTTTAGGGCGGCACTTCCCACCCTCTCATGCCGACGGAAACGGTCCCGCAACTCCCTCGGGAAGGGGCTCTCATCCAGTCTGACATAACACTGTCGCTCCTTCCAGCCTTTATTTGAGGAGGGCACCTCGGTGAACAGCTTCCACTGGGCTATCTGCTGCAGGTTCGTGAAGCCCTCAACATTCGCATGGCCTCCCCGGCACATGTTGAAACTTTGGAAGAAAAGGTCCAAGCTAGGGGTTACCCCCCGGGACTGGTAGAGGTGCAGGAACCCGGCAATATAAGAGTGACTATTGGTGGTGAGTTGGTAGGGGGCTAAGTCAACGAACCTGAGGTACTCCCGAAGGAATGGGTGCAATGGGAACCGAAGGTCCACCGAAACTGAAAGAATGTCAACCGCTATGCACCCCTCGGGAGGTCGGGACAGGATATCCTCAGGGCCTGGCTCTATCACTGTTGCCGATGGACCAACGTGCAGCTGCGTGACGTAGCATTCCGCCCTGTCAGCCTTCGACTTTATATCGAGGGTGACGGTGTTAAGGAAGGAATAACCCTCGGGCAGATCGATGGGTTTTCCTTGATCAGCAACGCTACCCTTCTTCTTGGGAGCAAGAGCCTTCATCTTCTTCTTCCCGGGGGCTACCCTGAGGGGAGTCAGGTTCAGCGGCCGAGAGCTGCTCGCCTCACCAGCATTACGAGGGGAGGGGATCGCAATAGTAACCCTCATCCTCTCCCTCTCCTTCTCCTCCTCTTCAATGGCCGTCTGCATGGCGAGGGCCATCTCCTCGTCTTCCACCACTTGTTCGAACTCCTCTGCCTCGACTTCGGCCACTAACTCCTTCTGGACCTCCATAGCGAGGGAAACATCACCATTCCCCGAGGACTGACTGCTTGCAAACTCGACGTCCGAAATACCCTCCTCCTCAGTCGAGGGCTCCCTTGAGACGTTTTGGGAATCACTTGCAGATGACATTTTATTTTTCGGAAACTAGGGGTCGAGGGTTTAAGAGACCGAAGGCTTTCTATGGGGCTCTAACACCTAATCTAAGGCCGGAGAGCAAAACTTACTAAAAGGGCGAAGAAAAGATGGAGAACTGACCTCATAAACAGGAGTTTGATCGAAAGCAGGTTTCTCTCTCTAGAAAAATTTCGGCAGAGGTTCGCTACATTATGATCGCGCAAGAAGAATGGCCTTGGCCTTGGGATATTTATAGGCCTCCCACTCTGGGCTTGGGCCAAGAAAATGGGCCCCCGATGGAAAGTCATCATTACACGCCGCCCCTTTCCGCCAACCAGTGATACCCGCCTGAAGCTAGCCAACAACTACACGCCACGTGGACATCACCTCCAACGGCTACATTTTCAACGTTCCTTATTCCAACAGTCTTATCACAACGGCTATATTTTAGAAACACAAAGGTGCTCCCGGCCGGTACCCCTCATACAACATTACACTTGCATTCGGGCTTTCTCCTTCAGCACCCTTCGCACAACAAATTGGGGCTGGCCCTCGGTCCATCACATTCAAACACCCCATGTCATATGGGCCCCCGAGGTAACAACGGAAAAGCCCCTCAAAACGTTGAGAACTAGGGAGTCCCCCCGGGGCAACACCTTCAGATCCCCTCATCAGTGACTAGCCTCCGGCTAAAATACCATGGCACCCCTCAGCACATGGGAATGATCACCGGCATTCGTCAACAACGAACAAGCCCTCATCCTCATTGACTGGGGGACTACCCTCGGCAATCCCTGGGATGCTCGCTCATGCTTATCAATTACGCATGCCTTCGTAGAAATGCTCCCGGCAGACCCTCCGGGATATCAACGAAGCCCCTCCGGCAACTCCACAGACATGCCCTCAGATCAATGGTAGCCTTCGGCATCAACTTTTTCCTTCATCTCAGACCAAGGTTTCACTTTTTCGATTCATCATTGGGGGAATTCGATGCACTCTTTTTCCTCATTAGGATTTTTTCCCACAGGGTTTTTCCTAATGAGGTTTTTAATGAGACATCCCCCCAAGATGAAACGAAAAGTGTCCACCTTCGGCCCCGTACAAACAGCAGACACCACTCTACTCCTTTTCACCACTTTACAAGTGCCTCAAGGAGTGGGGGGGGGGGGGGGGGGGGGACTAGAGAACCTCTCCGGGAACCGGGAAAATAAAAAAATGCTAAAAAATTATTCTCACAAAGCATCAACACCCTTTAGTCCCAAAATGTGAGGCACTGAAGGGCTGCCCCGATAGAATCGTGTGCAAATGCAAAATCTCTCACAGGTTTACAAACTACAAAAAGGCAGCATTAGAGGACAAACGCATTTTACTCCTTTTACCTCAAGTTCCTTTCGGCAAAAGGAGTGAGGGACTCCTGATGAGGAATATGGCCCAAGAACCCCCGGCCCATAGACTCCCACTACTATAGCGAAGACCCAATAGGCCCAGGAAGCACGGCAGGCCTAGATCACAGCGCCCCAAGTGCCATACAGCCCATGACGAACACTGGGATGCCTTCGGCCCCCATGGCCGAAGGCTCATAAACTTACAGAATAGCTGCTTTTAAGCACTCGAAGTTACTGGGAGAAAACGGTGAAAACAGTAGCCCTCGGCACCTAGAACCCTCAGCACCTAAAGGCCCCCGAGATGAAGAGCCTTCGGCTAGTCATCTACAGCCGAAGGCATTTCCTCGACAGAATCTCCCACCCACATGCGCTGGATCAACGTACCAAGTACAAACGTCACATCCAACCGCCGCATTTAATGCGGCCACATGCGAATGCCAGTGCCCCCCATTGAGGTGACCCCTCGACCACCATAATGATGACACGTGTCCTTATCTAGCATTTATTGCTGCTATAAATAGCACCCCTTTCCCCATTTGTAAACCACGCTCAATACGCTGAATACACTCGATATTAAAATACACTCTCTCTCTACTTTTGCTCAGACTTCTCTCTAAGTTACTCCCGCAGTAACCCCTCAGATAGATACCCCCCGGGTACACTCATCCATCAATAAGATAACAATAACACAAGAATATAACCAAGATAAAAGAAAAATAAATAAAAGAGCATGAAAAGTCTAGAAGATAAAAATAACATAAGAATATAAAAAGATAAGGAAGATAAACGATAAAAGAAACAAGAGATGAAAGGTAGACAAGACATCAATCGTCCACATGGATGTGCGCCCTCCACTTTGCTCTCTCCAAAGTCATACTCTCATCCAACCCTAGAATTGAAGACGCATATCAGTTCTGATTACTCTAATCCAAGTCTGTTTGGGTCTTCCTCTCCCTCTCTTCTCTGACTCTTCTCCCCACCCCTCAAGTCGTCTAACAGGTGCATCACTCGGTCTTTTATGCACATGCCCAAACCACCGCAAACGAGACTCCTGCATCTTATCTTCTATAGGTGCTACTCCCACCTTTTGTCTGATTACCTCATTCCTCAGGCGGTCTTTTCTGGTATGTCCACACATCCAACGCAACATACGCATCTCTGTCACACTCATCTTTTGAATGTGGCATTGCTTCACCGTCCAACACTCTACGCCATACATTAATGCCGGCCTAATTAAACTCATTACAACCTATAATTAAAGTAATTAAAATTATAGAAAAATAAAACATCTTAGTAATAATTAAAATCAACACTAATTGAATTAATTTTAATCAAAGTATGTTTAATTGCACAAATGACTAAGATTAGTGAACATTTGTAAATAATTTTACACAAAATATTTACTTTTCTTGGTCAATAATGATGAACTTTGGACAATGATTTTAATTATTATATTTTTATACAATTTCTAAATTTTATACTTTTATGATAATATTTTGAATAAGGAACATTTTGATATAATTTTCATATTCAAATTAATTTCAAATTAAAAAATATCATTAGCCAAAGTTGATTGTCATTGATCAAGAAAAGTCAATTTGTCGAAACTTTTCGGGACAGAGGGAGTATGATATTGTTGATTAATTGAAGCATGGTTTTTTTGGAAGAAAGTTAATAAGCAACGAGGAATCTAACATAACCTAAGGCCTTAGTGGGTTTAAGATAACTGATAATGTGATTACTTTTTTCACTTTTGGGAATGTAAGATTCCCTAAAAAATATCAAACATACGAACCAAACATAGATATCTCACATCCCGAGCATCAAATTCCGACAAATATAAGATACTCCCTCCGTCCCTAATAACTTTGCCAAGTTTGACCGGCACGAGAAATAATAAAGTAAAATATGTGTGGTTGATTTTGTGCATAAGAGAGAGAATTAATTAGAACCACAAATTCTTTATTTGAAAGGGAAAATGGTAAAGTTAATGTGACATAAAAAAATGGAAAGTTGAAAAAGTTATGAGGTTGCATATCCTGCCCATCCATAGACTTGTACGATGATATAGGGGATATAATAAGTAAGATGGGGCGATGATTTCAGACTCATCCGGGCATCCAGAAAACCCTAATCAGACTCACGCCCATCTCCTTCCCCTCATCATCCGGCCTTTCCTCTCCGTCTTTATTTGTAAAGAATGCCTTGCGGTATAACGGCGATTGTGCCACCGGTAAAGCCACTTAAATATGATTTTTCGAAGGTTTGCCCCTGCAACGAATGTTCGGAGAAGACAAAGGCGATTGTGGAATTTGAGAACTATCTACAGTCCAAATTTGCCCTAATCCGGGTACGTAGAAAAACCACGCACAATATTCCACGCTTAACTAATCATATGTTTTTTTTGTTTATTTATGCATTTATTTATTTATGTATTTATTTATTTATTTAGTTATTTATTTATTTATTTATGTATTTATTTACTTATTTATTTATCTATCTATGTATTTATTTATTTATTTATCTATTTATTTATGTGTCTATCGATCTATATTTGCATTTAGTCATTCATTTACTCATTCATTTCATTGATTGATTTGTTCACTCATTTATTTGTAAACAGGCACCTTATAAACAACTGTTTTTTGATCTCCAAAGCTTTACGAATCTTTCATCTGCCTTTTTGGAGACAACAGAGACATGGACTTGTCTTCAACATAGCCTTAAAAGTCTACACGAGGTGAGTGATTTCACTGTCGTCCTCAGTGTAATTTTGAAGTAAGAAGTTTGCTACCTGTAATGTGTTTTATGATATATTTGTTTCAGAAGTCTGGGGTCCCGCTCACAAGAAGTAAATCTGAAGAACGTATAAGAGTTCTATTCAATCAAACTGGTACTTTCCTAGTAAATGAAGGGTTACTGGATAATTTTGTGCTTCAAGATGAATGTCAGGGTCATGATGATAAACCCAGTCATCTTGATGAGAAAATAAATGCTATGGTAAGACATTAGATTATAGAGATTTAGGAATATTCTAGATACACATGTAGAAAGTCTTCTGATATCATTTAGTCTCTTCAATCATCAACCTTGCAATCCAGAGCATGCATTGAAATCTATTGAAGAAAGATATCCGCCAAAAACTTATATCTTTTCATTTCTTTTGTTCCTAACAAATACGTAGTACAGAGTACTTTTTTATACTCCGTAGCATATTGTGTTAAATACCCTCAAAGGCGTTTGGTATTTTATGCTCACCAGTACTTTTTGTTCCTTTTAAGAAATAAAAGTCATTTCAATGATGCGTTGGAACCTTACCTCACACTATTCTATCACTTTATTGCGTTTGTAACTTTGCCTTACTTAAAATCTATCTTAAAATGATACATGTTCTTTTATGGCTTTTCTTTTGACAGTTTGCGTGGTTCGTATCCACCGAATTTCAGGATGTTGTGCATAACATCCTCAAGAAGATGAAAGAGCTTGAAAATCAAGATGATCAAGATGGGAAATCTGCTGAAGAAGGAAAAATGTCTCTGAACCTTTCACACTCTAAGAGGCACTTGGACAACCAATTGAAGGCTAGAATATCTACTTGTGAACAATTTTGTTTGTTTCCTTCTTTGCTTATGTTGTCTCTGTTTGGAGCATATAATATCTAATGATATCTTACCATACCGTACCATGCTGTACCATACCAAATCACATCACACGTCTCCTTGATGCCTAGATGTCACCTAGGTGACAAGGCGGCTCGTTGACGCCGCACCTTGCTTACACACTGTGACCTTGGTTGGAGTATTCTTATGCCTTGACTAATTCCATTCAATCATTCTTTGTTCATGCTGTCTCTGATTGGAGTATTTATTATGTCTCTATTATAGATTTTTAAAGAGTTGCCATTTGAAGGTATGTGCCTAGAGATTAAAATGCTTGTGGGAAGAGGAGTAAGTAAAGAATATAAAAACTTGGTTGAAGACGCTATGGAAGCAATCTGGGAGACTTATTGTGCCCGGGTTGCTATTAGAAAGAGGTTTCACGAACAATCTGAAATGGTAATACGTTGCTTTCTGATTTTTAGCAAAATACATATTGTAATTATTGCCATTCTCATTGCACCTAATCCTAAGTTTGTTTGTATAGATCTCTTGCCACCGTGAATTGGGAGATTTTCTAGATTCTTTACTCAATCAGGTTTGCTGAAGTCGTACAGCTTCCCCACCCCTATATTTGCTATTTTTAAACCACTAAGTTTCTCCATTGAATTAGGCTAAATCATTTAGAGAAGTGTGGGCCAGTATCGAGCAAAGACTATTTGCTCCATCTGAAGAACCAGACCCTAAGAAACAAAAGTCATAGCACTCAGAGCAAACGTGCTCTAATGTAAAGTAAGTCTTCTGATTATAATTTCAGGTTATTTTCCCTGTATTTGGGAATGCTTTCCTCTGTCATGAAGGAATTATCTTGTACTCCCCTACCTAACCACATGTATGGCCAGAGAGTAGAAAGCGTAATAAAAAGATATAAAATAGGAGTACCAAAGGTGTTATGTAAAGTAAAGAATAAAACTCAGGGCAAAGCTTGCCAAATTAGAAAATAGGAAATAAAAGTAGACCTCAGAAACACTACATATCAACAAAAAACAGTGGAAGTATTCGAAAAATATACTCAATTGGACCTGCTTTGCACAATAGCAGTTTTTGTTTTATTCCAAGGATACAATCTGCTTTTTAAGGCATTAAAGTACTTATAAGATATGTTGGAACGTTGGAATGTGTCGGTCAATTAATATTGCCGAACGTGCATTCCAGTTATTATGTGTACCGTTCTAGAATTATCAAACAAGATATATGTAACATCAGATTGAATGAAATGCATTTAAAAATGTTTCACTAAAGCAAAGTCTTGATTCACAACAAAAATAAATAAATTGAGAAGTAATTACGTAAACATAAGACTAAAGATTGATTTTTGCTAGGTTGTAGCCCATTTGACTGCCTTGCCTTAACCTATTTTTGCATGATGATTGGATTGTATTGTTGTTTCCCTATTATTTGAATAAAATATATCTAATTCTAAATATGTTTTGTTATAGCAGGCCCAAACCTTATTTGAAAATTGAAAAATAGCTCAAAAAGCCTTTCCCAACCTAGATACTAGAGGCTTGCGCTTCTTGTGCTTCTCCTGCGCCTTATCCATAACCCTTTTCCTAGAGGATGATAAAGCGCTACACCTGTTCAGCACTTGTAAATTGAAATTTTATACATGCTTTGCATGTATAAGAAAATGAAAACATGTGTGCGTGACTCCCCGATTGTTTAGGGCATGTTATATTCATATTAATTACTGCATTATGTTAATGCATTAATTAGGCCACTTTCATGCATGATGTAATTTATTATTTCATCATATTTTGTTTGTGGCAGATAACATCGTTGACCTGTAAGATCTAATAATTTATAATGAATAAATATATAATCCCTCTGTTCATTTTTAGTTGCAATGGTCAACATTTCACATTTGCCAACACGTCTTTGACCATAATTATATCATAATTCTATTAGTAAAAAAATACGTAGTATTAAAAATCAGATTTTGAAAATTTATAATAAGATGAATTGAACAAAATAGTGTAAAATGTAGTCAAAGCAGAGCATATGAATAGTGTAAAAGTCAACATGTTGTGATTAAAACGGAACGGAGGATAGTATATTTTTACATAGTAGCGGTTTATTCTTAAAAGGGTGTATCCTTTTATGTTGGATCTGAACTTTTTTTGAAGATCATTAGAGACCCAAATAAGTTAATTTGGCCCGAATGACATTTTTTAGAGAATAAAGCTTGTGTGTTTGTATACACATAGCCTTTATTAAACCCGTTGAAAAGCTGGTCACATTCCTCCTAGCAGTTGCTCCTTTCTTCTTTCCTTTCCCAAAATGGCATATTCTCCATTTAAAGAGAACTATTCCGAGCTTTGGATCACCAATTTCCAGATGTCTTTCTGGGTTTATGAAGCTTTTGGTTTATCTGTCAATGGCCATTCAAATGATATAATTCTTGCATGAGAGGCTATGATATGCATGGCTGCACAATTGATTTCTTGAAGTTTTTGTGTTGGAATTTGTGGGAGCAGAGCCTCGATTTAGGGTTTATATTTTAAGTTCCTGCACTATAGCGGTGAGGCATCCGACTTCGAACCATTGTTTTAAAAAGAAGAGAGATGTTTTGACTTTTGAAATTTCTAATTTACAATTTCAACCATTAATTAACAGCAGTGCTTACTTGAACACTTATCCAAGGTGCCACACTTACTTCAATATTTTGAGTTCATGTTTTAGCATTTAAGTTCACTACCTGTACATGCTTGTTCAACCAAAAGAAAGAAGTATGTTTGCTTTTAAAATAGATAATAATATGTACTTGTGGTAATGTGTGATTAGTTGTTTTATTTGTTGAACTTGTGTTCCACTAGTTCAATCAAAAGAAAGAAGATTGATTGCTTTTAAAATAGATAGTAATATGTACTTGTGGTAATATGTGATTAGTTGTTTTATTTGTTGAACTTGTGATCCACTACTTCTTTGGCATATTTAAGGTCATGTTAGTTATGTCACTTTATGTTGTTTAATGATGTTTTAATCAAATGTCACCATAAAAAGAATCAATATTTAATGCGAAGAGTTATCATAAATAATAATTTTGATGCTCTGTGAGTTGCTCCCCTGAACTGTCGGAATGACTTCATTGAGTACAAATCACTAGCCTTAAGTAATACTGAGATCTCTTTTAGCAAGTTATTTTAGAAAAGATTTTGAGGTCTCTCCAGAAAACATTTCCAAAAACAATTTTTAGAAAGTTTGAGATCACATTTGAAAGCTTAAACAATTTTTAGAAAGTTTGACTTTCACGTTTGCAAACACACAATTTTGACTTTAATCATCTTTAATTATGTATTAGTAAACATTAGAAGATACTCTTTTAGATCTTTTTAGGGACAACTCGAAAAGAGTTTTTTTATAGATTCCCTTGAGAAAGTTAATAGGCTTGAAGTCATTTGCGATATATTTGCCAATTCTGCTAAGACTTATGGCCAAAGCTTATCTATTCACAATTATCATAGACGTGACATGTGTGGAATGTTTTTTTTGTGGATTCGTAGTGGCTTATCAAGTGTTTCTTACAAGTGTTTCTCCGCATGTACAGATACCGATCTAGGAAGACGATGATCGATTTGAACGGTGGTGTGGCATGATGAGTTGACGTGAAAGACCTTGACCGGTTATATTTATATTTATATTTTAAAGTCAGTTAAATTTGAGCATGTCTCTTTTGTTAATATTAGTAAATCCATGATACATGTGGATGTAATTATTTAGTTATTATGGAGTCGTATTTTTATGAGTTACTTTTCACCGTTAACAATTGTTATGCTTTTTAATCTTTTGAAATATTAAGTAATTGTAATGTGTGTTGCCTTTATTTTAATTGTATTTAGTCTATACATGTAGTTTTGTGCCATAAACGTATTAATTGTACATTGTAGACAGATGTTCCAAAAAGGGATGGCCCGGTACGGTTTTTGGTCGGCCCTGGGCAGGCTTGATGTCTGGGGTGAAGCCCAGTACCGGCTCGGGAATCAATCGGTACTGGGCTAGGCTGGTTCTTTTTTTTTAGTTTTTCTTATTTATTCCAAGTTTCCAACCCCCACCCTCACCCCCAAATCCCGCCAAAACACCCTGCCCAGCCCACTTACCATAGGCCCATCCGCACAAAGCCTAAAAAACAAAAACAAAAAAAAAAGCCCGGACAAGACCTGGACCGGCTGAGCCGGTCCTTATTTACGCAGCCCAGGAACTTCCCTAAAAAACCCTCAGGTTAGTCCTATGTCTGGAACTAGTCCCGGATCATCAGGCTGGTCCGGTCCTTCACCGTTGCAGTCCAAGGGAGTTTTCTACCTATATTTCTAGCCTTGCAATTAGGCATGTTGGCCTGTCAATGGGTTGGGTCTGGGTCGAAATGTAGTGTTCCAGACTCGACCCACTAAGTTTTTAATGGTTTAAGACCCGACATGTTTACCCGTTGGGTCTGAAAATTTGGATCCAGACCCAGATCCAATGGGTCTCGGAATTGGGTCAGGTAGACCCGTCAATAAGTATGATATGCATAACATTATAAATTTTGTGAAAAGTAACATGACTTGTATGTAAAATGTAAAGTAACGTACGCAAACTTAAAAACAAAATGTATCTTCACTATAAAAAAATATCAAGATTTCTCATAGAAAACTAATACTTTTATCCAATAAAGTATTGGTTCTTATAGAGACATACCTCCACGCTCTATTTAGCTTTCTCTAGCACATAAAACTCGTAGAATAGACTTGAAATTAGGTCACAAAAAGATCTCTTGGACTAGTGAGAGTATAAAAACATATTATATATGATAGTGATATAATAATATTAATATTTAAAAACAAATATTGGGCTTTGCCTACTCTAACTTTATCATTACACATAAATGCCGAAAAATGTGTATTAGGTTTAGGATATCTTAATATCTCGATCAATATCACTTATACGGTACGTATGTATTACCGTGTGTATTTTTTATTGAAGAATTACAACTAATAACTTTATGTATTATTATGTGTATATGTGTGTGTGTTAGTTTGTATTTTTTTTATTTGAAATATTATGAGTAACCATTTTATTTATTAGTGTGTGTATACTAAGGATGTTTTTACTTGGACTGAAATTTGCTGGTATGGTCTGGTCTGAACTGAACTGGTCTTGTTTCTTTGTATTTTTATAACTATCCAAGTCTGGTCTGGTCTGAACTGGATCGCGAGATTTGTTAGAAGAGATCAAGGGAAATGCGTTGGATCTGGCTGCGCAGATCAACAGAAGCCTTTCCCCATTTCTTTTCATTTCTTTTGTTCCTAACAAATACGTAGTACAGAGTACTTTTTTATACTCCGTAGCATATTGTGTTAAATACCCTCAAAAGTCATAGCACTCAGAGCAAACGTGCTCTAATGTAAAGTAAGTCTTCTGATTATAATTTCAGGTTATTTTCCCTGTATTTGGGAATGCTTTCCTCTGTCATGAAGGAATTATCTTGTACTCCCCTACCTAACCACATGTATGGCCAGAGAGTAGAAAGCGTAATAAAAAGATATAAAATAGGAGTACCAAAGGTGTTATGTAAAGTAAAGAATAAAACTCAGGGCAAAGCTTGCCAAATTAGAAAATAAGAAATAAAAGTAGACCTCAGAAACACTACATATCAACAAAAAACAGAGGAAGTATTCGAAAAATATACTCAAGTGGACCTGCTTTGCACAATAGCAGTTTTTGTTTTATTCCAAGGATACAATCTGCTTTTTAAGGCATTAAAGTACTTATAAGATATGTTGGAACGTTGGAATGTGTCGGTCAATTAATATTGCCGAACATGCATTCCAGTTATTATGTGTACCGTTCTAGAATTATCAAACAGGATATATGCAACTTCAGATTGAATCAAATGCATTTAAAAATGTTTCACTAAAGCAGTCTTGATTCACAACAAAAATAAATAAATTGAGAAGTAATTACGTAAACATAAGACTAAAGATTGATTTTTGCTAGGTTGTAGCCCATTTGACTGCCTTGCCTTAACCTATTTTTGCATGATGATTGGATTGTATTGTTGTTTCCCTATTATTTGAATAAAATATATCTATAATTCTAAATATGTTTTGTTATAGCAGGCCCAAACCTTATTTGAAAATTGAAAAATAGCTCAAAAAGCCTTTCCCAACCTAGATACTAGAGGTTTGCGCTTCTTGTGCTTCTCCTGCGCCTTATCCATAACCCTTTTCATAGAGGATGATAAAGCGCTACACCTGTTCAGCACTTGTAAATTGAAATTTTATACATGCTTTGCATGTATAAGAAAATGAAAACATGTGTGCATGACTCCCCGATTGTTTAGGGCATGTTATATTCATATTAATTACTGCATTATGTTAATGCATTAATTAGGCCACTTTCATGCATGATGTAATTTATTATTTCATCATATTTTGTTTGTGGCAGATAACATCGTTGACCTGTAAGATCTAATAATTTATAATGAATAAATATATAATCCCTTCGTTCTTTTTTAGTTGCAATGATCAACATTTCACATTTGCCAACGCACGTCTTTGACCATAATTATATCTTAATTCTATTAGTAAAAAAATATTAAAAATCAGATTTTGAAAATTTGTAATAAGATGAATTGAACAATATTTTTTAAAAAAACTAGTTAAGTTTTCATAAAATAATAGCGTAAAATGTAGTCAAAGTAGAGCATATGAATAGTGTAAATTTCAACATGTTGTGATTAAAACGGAACGGAAGATAGTATATTTTTTACATAGTTTAGCGGTTTATTCTTAAAAGGGTATCCTTTTAAGTTGGATCTGAACTTTTTTTTGAAGATCATTAGAGACCCAAATAAGTTAATTTGACCCGACTGACATTTTTTAGAGACTAAAACTTGTGTGTGTTTAATTTGTATACACATAGCCTTTTATTAAACCCGTTGAAAAGCTGGTCACATTCCTCCTAGCAGTTGCTCCTTTCTTCTTTCTTCTCCCAAAATGGCATACTCTCCATTTAAAGAGAACTATTCCGAGCTTTGGATCACCAATTTCCAGATGTCTTTCTGGGTTTATGAAGCTTTTGGTTTATCTGTCAATGGCCATTCAAATGAAATAATTCTTGCATGAGAGGCTATGATATGCACGGCTGCACAATTGATTTCTTGAAGTTTTTGTGTTGGAATTTGTGGGAGCAGAGCCTCGATTTAGGGTTTATATTTTAAGCTCCTGCACTATAGAGGTGAGGCATCCGACTTCGAACCATTGTTTTAAAAAGATGAGGGATGTTTTGACTTTTGAAATTTCTAATTTACAATTTCAACCATTAATTAACAAGAGTGCTTACTTGAACACTTATCCAAGGTGCCACACTTACTTCAATATTTTGAGTTCATGTTTTAACATTTAAGTTCACTACTTGTATAAGCTTGTTCAACCAAAAGAAAGAAGTATGATTGCTTTTAAAATAGATAATAATATGTACTTGTGGTAATGTGTGATTAGTTGTTTTATTTGTTGAACTTGTGATCCACTAGTTCAATCAAAAGAAACAAGTTTGATTGATTTTGAAATAGATAATAATATGTACTTGTGGTAATATGTGATTAGTTGTTTTATTTGTTGAACTTGTGATCCACTAATTCTTTGGAATATTTAAGGTCATGTTAGTTATGTCACTTTAAGTTGTTTAATGATGTTTTGATCAAATGTCACCATAAAAAGAATCAATATTTAATGCGAAGAGTTATCATAAATAATAATTTTGATGCTCTGTGAGTTGCTCCCCTGAACTGTCGGAATGACTTCATTGAGTACAGATCACCAGCCTTAAGTAATACTGAGATCTCTTTTAGCAAGTTATTTTAGAAAAGATTTTGAGGTCTCTCTAGAAAACATTTCAAAAAACAATTTTTAGAAAGTTTGAGATCACATTTGAAAGCTTAAACAATTTTTAGAAAGTTTGACTTTCACGTTTGCAAACACACAATTTTGACTTTAATCATCTTTAATTATGTATTAGTAAACATTAGAAGATACTCTTTTAGATCTTTTTAGGGACAACTTGAAAAGAGTTTTTTTATAGATTGCCTTGAGAAAGTTAATAGGCTTGAAGTCATTTGTGACATATTTGCCAATTCTGCTAAGACTTATGGCCAAAGCTTATCTATTCACAATTATCATATATAGACGTGACACATGTGGAATGTTTTTTTGTGGATTCGTAGTGGCTTATTAAGTGTTTCTTACAAGTGTTTCTCCGCATGTACAGATACCGATCTAGGAAGACAATGATCGATTTGAACGGTGTTGTGGCATGATGAGTTAACGTGAAAGACCTTGTCTGGTTATATATACATATATATATATATATATATATATATATATATATATATATATATATATATATATATATATATATATATATAGTTTGAGTTTTTAAAGTCAGTTAAAATTGAGCAAGTCTCTTTTGTTAATATTTGTAAATCCATGATACATGTGAATGTAATTATTTAGTTATGGAAAAAGGGCCAAATAAACACTCTTACTATTCCGAAAGAATCACATAAACCCGTCTACTAAAAAAATGGTCATATTAACACCTTTACTATCTTTAAACAATCATACAATCACAGAACTTCACGGGGATAGCACAAGAACATGTTGACGTACGACTTTGGAGATAAGAAGCAACTGGGTCTTACGTGGAAAAAAATCCACATTTGGAAAAATTAAGGATCCTCGTAGGATTCCACCGGTAGTCAAGGGTGGGGTTTCGGTCATATGGGCCTATAAGATTGATTAAAGATAGTAAAGGTGTTAATATGATGGTTTTTTTAGTAGGCGGGTTTATGTGATTGTTTTGGAACAGTAGGAGGGCCTATTTGGCCCTTTTAACTTTAATTATTGTGGAGTCATATTTTTATGAGTTACTTTTCAGCGTTAACAATTGTTATATTTTTTAATCTTTTGAAATATTAAGAAATTGTAATGTGTGTTGCCTTTACTTTGAGAGGGGCGTTAGAGTGTGGTTGTCTAAACTTTCTAGGAATTCGTATTTAGTCTATACATATAGTTTTGTGCCATAAACGTATTAATTGAACATTGTAGACAGATGTTCCAAAAAGGGATGGCCCGGTTCGGTTTCTGGTCGGGCCCGGGCAGGCTTGATTTTTGGGGTGAAGCCCAGCACCGGCTCGGGAATCAATCGGTACTGGGCCATGCCGGTTCTTTTTTTTTTTTAGTTTTTCTTA